TAGTTCTGTTTCTAACCTTTCCATTTTACAAATGAGAAAACTTGGTACAAAGAAGTTAAAGAGATTACTGAAAGTTGCATGCCTTGTTAAGGGCATCTTAATGGAATACATTAGATGAACTCAGGTAAATCCATGTTCCTGCTCAAGATATTAGAAAAATTTTGTTTCTGTTCTCCAGGTTTTCACATTAACGATCAAGAGACAGTGACTTGTGTAAAGAGTGACACAAAATGCAGACATTTTGTGAATGAAACAGAAATTAAATAAGCACTCATGAAGAAGCACAACAACTGGGCGTGGTGGCTCACACCTGTAATCCCAGTACTTTGGGAGGCTAAGGCAGAAGGATCCCTTGAGCCCAGAGTTCAAGACCAGCTTGGGAAACATACAAAGACCCAGTCTCACCTGGGAATAGTGGCATGTACCTGTAGTAAGTTGAGAGGCTGAAGTGGGAGGATTGCTTGAGCCCAGGAGCTCAAGGCTGCAGTGAGCCATGGTAGCGCCACTGCATTTCAGCCTGGCAACAGAGGGGGATCCTGTCTTAAAAAACAAAAAAAAAAAGCAGCAACAAAATAAAGTTAGAGACATCTATCATCAGATCAAAATTCCAGGAGGTCAAGCTTGCAAATACACACATTGGTACATAAACACACTCCAACGGATAAGGAACACAACCAAATATTGCTTATCATTCTAAAATTCTAAACAATAGGTAGAGATTTAAGTCCTATGTGAGAAACCCCTGAGCACAGCTGACAGGAGTGAAAGCTGGACACACAGGTCTTCAGCTAGTATGGTACCAGGGCTTGACTTTGACCTTCACTTTGAGTCCCGTGGACATTCATTCTATTCACACAGAATTTCTAGCTTGAAATCAGGAAGAAGTAAAAACCTTAATCTCATATTTGACTTCTGTATTCTCTTTTCCCTATTAACTCTGCCTATCATAAATGAATTAAAGAGTAACATTGTATCTTAACTAAAACAACAATTTTATCAAATCCCTGTAAATTTGGGTCATTAGATGAATGAGAAACTTGCCTTTTGCCACTTAGTTTCAGAACTTCTTTAAGTCACTATTTCAAATTACTTATTCCTAAATTTACTTTGTCAATATTCATTTTCATACATTTATTTCCAATTATGATCGAATAACAGGAAATACAAAAATTTTTCTGCATAAAACTACGGCCCTAAAGCACTGAACTCCAACGAATGACTGAAGCTGCTTGAAGAAAGCATCTCTAAAAGCCCTCAACTGTCAATCCTACAATATAACGAAGGCAGATGATATTCTCAGAGACACTTTTATATAATTTCTTTCATAATCTCATTCTTTAAAAAAATAGAGGAAATGCTGAAATGTGAAGTTCCTTTTCAGCAAGTAATTTGTTCTAATGATGTAATTCCCCTCTGTAAGGAGTTCTACGTTATTTCTTTTTCTCCATGCTTAACTCTAAGACAATAATATTAACCTATGTTTATCACTACCCCCTCAACTTTTTGAGGCATAAAATGCCTCCTTTCCTGTTTTCCTGATGTAGAGAATTTTGCTTCAGTAAGCCTAAGAGTTGTTTTTTTTTTTTTTTTTTTTTTTTTTTTTTTTTTTTTTTTTTTTTTTACCCCTAGCCTGTATATGCTTGTTCTGTGTCAACTCATTGTAAAGGAGCCGGTTTGAAAGCTTATCACCATTCATTCTGTGACTTTCCAACTTTGTCTCCCTGGTAACAGAAGCCTGCGATTATGAGACAAGAACACAAAAGATCTCCCAAATTATCGAAATTCTAATACTCTAATTAGTTTTATGCCCTTATTCCTACCATCCATGCATCTATTATTTTTTCCCGAATCTGAAGCCATGGTCTTCATCTTAGCTTCTCTACCTTCAGTTTCCCTCTGGCCAAGTCATCTTAAATATGCATTCCAGTTGAATTTTTTTGAAACCGTCGGCCTGTCATTATTCCATAATAAAAACTTTCACGGTGCCCCCAAACTCTCAGAACAAAGTACAAGTACTTTTGTTTGGTAGTCTAGGATCTCTAGGACTGCTATCTGTCCCATCTTTTTTTTTTTTTTTTTTTTTTTTTTTTTTAGATGCAGTTTCGCTCTTTTTGCCCAGGCTGGAGTACGATGGCACAACCTCGGCTCGTGGCAAACTGTGCTTCCCAGGTTCAAGCGATTCTCCTGCCTCAGCCTCCCGAGTAGCTGGGATACAGGCACCCACCACCATGCCCAGCTAATTTTTTGTATTTTTAGTAGAGACGGGCTTTCACTATGTTGGCCAGGCTGGTCTCACCTGATGGCAGGTGATCCACCTGCCCACCTTTCACACATATCTCTATGCTTCTGTGACTCTGGCCACTATACTAGTTTGGTCATGTTTGCCAGTCTTCCTATGTCTTGCTACTTCACATTGCTATAAACATTCTTAAGTAAACAAAGCTCTCTTTTGAACTAAACATTTCCAAAGCAAAGCATATGACTAGCTTTCTTCACTGCATCCTTGTCCCTAACAAGTATGCTTATTCCTTAGGATTCTCCACCACAGTCAATGGCACCATTTCCCCAATTACTCAGGCCTGTTTAAGTATGATTTTCAACAAGGCAAAATCATGACTCTTACGTAAATAAAAAATGAATGTGTGTCAGAGATCTTATACACTCAGTAATTAATGAGGAAACCAGTAAGATGTTAAAATCATTTGAAATAAAAATTTGAAAAACTAGGTGTTTAAAGGCAATTTTACAAAGTAATTTCAGGATAAGATTGCTGAGTTAGATATATTGATAACATGAATTAATGTCCAATGGGGCAATAAATTATAATTTTTAAATCATCTTTTCCACCAGGTGGAAATTATCTGTATGTTTACCATACAAAAATCTGTAAATTAACTCCTTCTCCTACAAGGTTTTACAACAGCCAAGTAAACTGAAAATCAAAAGCCCGTATGGAATGAAAAAACACTCAGTAGTCGCTGCCCATTTTTGTTTCAGAAAACTCTTCTGATATTCTTACCCCTTATGATTATAAACAACCCTCAAAGATTATTCTTTAGGGAAAATGGCTAGCCTCATTAGGTTTGGTATAATTATTCACATGGATGCAAGGCAACAAGAGTCCTAATTAAACACACAGGGCTTGAGTTTGGTATGAAAATCTAGAGCCTTATACTATTAACTGTGAAAGATTAAGAATTTTCTGGGTGGATTTTTCATCAGAGATCTCAGATTATATTTTTTTAGTCCTCATTTTTTTTTAAAATGCTGAGTATAGGAGACCCAGCCCAAGATGTGTTCTCCAGCAGATTTCATATATACTCATAAACCTGGGTGAATTCTTCTCTTCTTGATGGCTTCCAAATTCTCTAAGGCCTCTGATCTGGTAAGAGATCATACCTTCTGTGAAGCTGATGCTCTGTAAGCCAAGTATCAAGTGCCAAGCCAGGGATCTTGGGAGACTTTGTAGACACTGAATCCACATATAAACAGTCTTGAAAATAGGCTTCCAAGTAACTACTTGCTCTTTAATAGTGGGCTTTTCACAGCTGATTAAATGAGAATCATTCTCAAATGTGATGTTGCTTGCACAATTGATTTTTCCAATTATGCTCTGATAAAAAGAGAGCAAGATTCTTATTGAATCTTACCCAAATAACTATATTGCCAAGTAAAGTCACAAATCTGAGCAACAAAGCTGTTTCTGAATTCTAAGGGATGAGCAAGAATGAGATACCACTAAAAATGTTTCACTGCAGTTTATAAAAGCACAGTCTATTAAACTGAGGCTTAGAGACAGCTCAGGAAAAAGGAGATAGGGCTTCCTCATACAACCAGAAATAATACAGCATTCAAACAGCAGCAATGTGTCTAAACAAATAACCACAATTAAATTAGTCTCATCAGTTCATTTAGTCCTTAGTAATTAAGTTTTATTCCACTGGATACTGCTTTCATAAAGTATGTCTGCTGCTGGACTGAAACAAATCCTGGAAATCCATAGTCCCTGATGTAGTCTGAAAGTTGTCTAAGCAATACCTGCTTGGAAGCCTGTGACTGGCAATTTCCTGGAGTGGTAATGGTTCATAAAGACTGGTATAGGCCTTTCCACAGGTTCTGAACTCCCCTTTGCGTAAGGTATAAACTCTAGCCTGAAGCTTGTAGCAAAGTCACCAGGCAAACATCAGAAGGGAAAATGGCTCTGCGTGATGGTGAGACTGATGGCTGAGGTTATATTACAGGAACAATATTATCACAGCAGGCAAGAGTACATTCCTTTTTTGGGATAGAGGACATAACCATTTCATAAGAGTTTCCTCTAAGAGAGAAAACATATGATGAATAGGAGAGGCACTGACAATTTTCAGGGTCTTCTCGAAATGTGTGTACACTATATTTATAAAAATGAGTAACATTTTACTTATACAAATTTAACCTAGTTAAGGTTGAGCGTCTTTCCCGATTTGACAACTATCTCCATGCAGTTCTCACAATAATTTGAGGTAATTAAGACATGGAACCCATCAAACAAAACCAATCATTTCTAGTATTTTTTTACTTATAAAGTAAAAGAATAATCTTTCTGAGGCCTTCTTGAAACACAAAGATAGCATTAGATGTAAAAGACATTTTATACTGAAAATTTTATCTTTTTCTAAATTTGCAGTCAAATCTGTAGAACGCAAAAATCAAAGTATTGTCAGAGGAAATTTGCTCACTTAATTAGGAAGGAACCATGGGGACATGAGAAACACTATTTGGTTACCCAGGTTAAGTCTACTGGACTTAAGTCGTCCGGCTGCCTGGGCCTCCCGAAGTGCTAAGATTATAGGCATGAGCCACCATGCCCATCCAAAATATTAAAACATTTAAAAGAGCGTATTTTTAATTTTAAAGGCCATTTGGAATAACTGCCATATTCCAGGGCAAACATGAGCTCATGAACAACCAGGAGACTCAGTGACTGAGGGCCAGAGGCTCCCCAGGGGGCAGACAGAGACCTCACATATCTATGGCATGGTCCTGCTCCTTGGGGCTGTATTGTCAAAAATAAAGAATGCTCCTCGGGCGGCTGCGGCAGGAGGATCCCTAGAGCTCGGGAGGTCTAGGCGGCAGTGAGCCCCGATGCAGCCACTGCGCTCAGCCTGGGCCTCAGAAATAAGAAAGCAGCCCTCGGGAACCACCACCAACCGGGAACGCCCCCAGGTCCAGCCTTCCTCCTCCCCCTCCAGTGCAGAGGTCCTCGGACACCAGAGGCAGCCCCGCCACGACCTCCAAGGCCAAGGGCACGGGGCGGGGTCTCCGTCCCACCCGAGGACTTCCTGCCGCCGCTGCCAGCGCTGCAGCCGGTGGAGAACCCGGAGCTCCCGCCGCCGACCCCGACCCCCGCCTTGGTGTGCAGGAACCGCGGGCTCGGAGCGGCCCCCGCCGCCGCCCGCGTTCACCCCCTACTCTGCCAGGCCGCCCCCGCGGTCGCCAAGAGGCCTCCTATGCCCCCCATGGCCCCCTGACGGGGCAGGAGGCGGGGAGGATTTCTTGTCAGACCTCATGAAAGCTTCGCAAAAGAAGAGGCAACGTGTCCTAGGGACGGGCATACTGAGTGTACCAGAGCGAGACGCACCGCTGACCCCCAGTGCAGGTTTTGCTACGCGATTTCCATGACATCTCGTTCATTTCAGATAAAATGAACGGGAAACTTCTCACTGTTGTGCTCAAGTACAGCCATAACCATTAACCCAACCGAATTCAGAATATCTGCCCAAATGTACATATCGCTCCTATGTATTTTCACCTAAATGGAAGGTATCTTCCCTTCCAGGTTACCTAAAGTGCTGTTTTAGGCTCATTTATTTTATTACTTTCAGAAGCATCAAAGTTAAACGTTTTTCCTGGGGGAAAAAAAAAAACCCAAACAGTATCTGGTTACCTAATCAAGGTGGCAAACAGAAGAAGGCACACAAGCACCAGGAAACTTCACTTCTTTACTAGCGAGAAACTTTGGTTCATTGAACTCTGTGTTTGTTTACATTTCTTTATCTTGTTTTGTTTCTATAAATAATCAAGGACATAAGGTCTACTATACAAAGTTGAGAAAACTATTCTGTTTCGATGCAGAATCCTTGCTACTTGGGCAGATTACTCTGCAGGTGAAGAATAATCTTTTGTCACTCTGTCCACCCTCTGCTAACTCTAAGACCAATTTATCATTTTAATAGAGAGATGTCATTTTCTAGTTTTGTTTTAATGTAAAGTTTGGCAGTATAGGTTTCATAAGCTCCTTTTATTTCTTTAAATTGTCTTGTGAATAATTCTATCAAAACTTAACAGAATTTACCAAAAAATTAACACGTCATCATTTCTTTTCCAATTCAGATATAAAAACAAGGCAAATTTACGTCGTCAAACACTCTGTAACTAGCTATCCACACTGTCATTACTCTCTTCATATACTTCACATACACTAATACTTTACTGTGAGACTAGTCTTTTGCTTTTGTTTTTGTTTTCTCAGACAAATGCCCTTATACAGTTGTTCCTTGTCATTATTGCTCCTTGTGATAACAGTAGTCCTAATTGTTAACAGATATAACAACTTCTATTTCATAGAAAAAGCTAAAAACTGTCACATACAGCATTTTGGCAGACCAGCAAAGCTAAAAAATACACAACACGTACCTTCCTAAAGCCACATTTATCCTTTTTGCATATTGTTAAAGTGGCAAAAAAATGAACATGTTCAATGATATGATCCATAAACTAAGAAAGAAAATATTAAAAAATTAACATTTGCTTAATATTACTTGTTGTAATATTCTATCTTAGAAATTAGTCAGGGGTCTAAAATAATATTTATTAATTAGCTTAATTTTAATCCAAATTTTGAAGTTACCCTGGGCCTTGAAATTAATGTTTAAGCTAACATTCTATAAAACATAATCACTGCTATAAAATCATTGGTCAAAATTATAATTCAATATATTTGAAAACATTTCATAATCTCTAACATTATGTAGAAGTAATATTATTTTACTTGGTTAGCAAACCAATATATATATAGTAGTGTCAAAAACTCAGATTAAGTTGTTTCATGAGAAAAATTTAAATCTTACAAAGAATATAATGTAGTATATTATATTTAAAATTGAAATATCAGAGAAAAGTTATGTAACTTTTTTCTTAAGAAAAATGATTAAACCCATCTAATTAAAAATTCATCTTATATGAAGTCTTAAAATGTTTATTTTTAGCAAATTCTGTAAGAAAATTTTAAGTCCAATACAATATTAGGGGTTAATCTGAACTTTCTAAACTTCTTATATTGAACATAATTTAAATATGAATATTTATTGAATTAATTGTAAGACATAGGATGATTGAAGAATATACGATATGGTGGTTTGAGGCATTTTAAAATATGGGTTTAAAAGTTTTGTATATCCCTATGTATTTTATTTTCTAAGACCTAAATATTAATGTACTGGCTGAATAACTAATCAGAAATAAAAGCTGACATAGCCATAAAGATAAATGACACCATGGCAATAAGAAAGAACAAGCCGCTGGGCATGGTTCTTTCCTAGCATTCTGGGAGGCCAAGACGGGTGGATCACCTGAGGTCAGGAGTTCGAGACCGGCCTGGCAAATACGGTGAAACCCTGTCTCTACTAAAAATACAAAAATTAGCTTGGCCTGGTGGCACGTGCCTGTAATCCCAGCTATTCACGCAGCTGAGGCAGGAGAGTCATTTGAACTTGGGAGGCAGAGGTTGCAGTGAGCTGAGATCATGCCACTGTATTCCAGTCTGTGGGACAGAGCAAGACTGTCTCAAAAAAAAAAAAAACAAGAATATATTTCACTATGTGTAATTATTTTAAATGAGCTGTCACATTTTAAATTTACCTAGAAATTAAACCACTTGCAAACCCGTTTTGGCAGGGAGGCAGAACAACAGAAAATCACACACATTTCCCATTAATGGACTCTTCCTATGGAAAAGGGCGAGCTGTCCTGAAGACCTCTATCCAGTGTTCGTAAGTTCATCACCTACCTCTAACAAAAAAGCAGTCACTATATGAATTTATAGAAAATATTAATTTCATGTTTATTTTTAGTCTATGAATATAGTGACTTTCATTAATATACAATGTATTTTTAACATTTCTGAAACAAAGCTTTTACCCAGTGTTTTCCTGAAGCTTTTTGTTTTTTGAAATATACTACATTTTCAATTTAATAATTTAGTTCAGTTAATACTCATTTTTCTTCATGTGCACTAATGAATTCTTCAACTTATTATTACCTTGTGGACTTCCACAATTTTTCAAATTGTAGTCAGCACACACTGTCTACAGTATATTATTAAGAAGTAAAACCAAAGATATCAAATATACCTTTAATCTTTTTTAGATACTGTTTCATGTCTTGCTTAACAGCAGCTTTGGAGCCAAGCCCAGCTCCACCTCCTCTCTGACTCCAAGTAGGTTGAAGGCTCCCACTTTCCGCACATACAGCACATTCAGTCTTTTGGCAATGTGGATGCACGATGGAGGTGCAGCGGTTGCCTGGAATCATAAAGGGCTCCTTGGCTTACCTGTCTTTCTAGTTTCCAGCACCCTACCTGTGCTCCTCCTCTTCCTGCCACCCAGACATGGCTGCTAAGCCCAGACCTCACACTCCACATCCTCCTCCAGGCAGACTGCACCCCCCATGGAAGGCTCTGAGCTGGAGCAGCACACCACCAGTCCGGACCACACCTGGCAGTGGCAATCAGGGTCAAAGGCCAACATGCTTTTGCAGGATGGAAATGGATTCTGTCTTGTACTCGGTATCTAAAGATAGGGCTGGTAATCACCATTATTGGAGCCATCATCACTGACAGCCTGCACAGACCTAATACCTCGCTGGGAGAACATGTATCTTCACCCTAAAGTCTGAAGCCTCTTCCCAAAGCCTTAACCTTCCATTAAAAGAGTTGAATATTTTCAGAGAGGTAGGCACTCCTAGCAAAAAAAGACCAAGATTCCCAGAAAACACAGTAGTCTATCCCCTAGCTGACCTTAATTAGAGGTCAAATTCTCTTAGTAAATTTGTAGCTAGCTAAGTCCCACTAGCCACTGCTAACCTGATGCCATTTACAAAATAAAATAAATAAATTTCAGAGATTTAAATTACTGTGTATGTGTATATTTAAAGAACTGAAAGCAGCATGGTATACTGTATGGTTTCAAAATCCTACAGATTTGAAAGTCCCAGCACTGACCCTAAATAGCTGTATATTATTGGAAAACTACCAAAACATAATCTAAGTAAGGCTTAGAAAAAATTCATTTTCATGATTAATAAGAGGATGCATATAGACTTAGCATAGCTCTTGGAATATAACGATACTCTAATACTCATAGTTTATTGAGCAATTTCTATTAATATTATTGAACTCCATTTCAGTGTACTCAACTTTTCTTTCTGTGGCTTATTTAGAGTGTCAACTGCATATTCAATTCCATGTCTTTATTTTTCATATTATAATATTATCCATATTGAAACTGCCTTATTTGCAACTGTTCTATTGAATACTGACAGTTATCCTAATTTTATGAAGGTCTATGAACTTTGCTATCTTCCTAACATGATTCTATACAGGAAATTACATAAAATATCAAAAAAAAAAAAAAAAAGAAAATGAAAGTACTATAACTATTGCAGTCTCATTCATGGAGAAGACAGGGTAGCCAAACCAAAAATCCAAGGGATGAAATTTTCAATGCCACCAGCTGATTTTTGAGCATCAACAAGGAACCAGTCATTCAGTTATGCATCTGAGCTATTGCAATCCTTACCTGTCTTAGAGAAGACAGCTAAGTGCTACAATACAAGAGACTGATTGCAGCTCTTCTTTCATAGTTTCTTCTGTTATGGCATGAAAAAAACAAAGTCAGGCCGGGCACGGTGGCTCAAGCCTGTAATCCCAGCACTTTGGGAGGCCGAGGCGGGTGGATCACGAGGTCAAGAGATTGAGACCATCCTGGTCAACATGGTGAAACCCCGTCTCTACTAAAAATACAAAACATTAGCTGGGCATGGTGGTGTGTGCCTGTCATCCCAGCTACTCAGGAGGCTGAGGCAGGAGAATTGCCTGAACCCAGGAGGCAGAGGTTGCGGTGAGCCGAGATCGCGCCATTGCACTCCAGCCTGGGTAACATGAGTGAAACTCCGTCTCAAAAAAAAAGTCAGGGATTTCTTAATTATTTTTTTGATACTAAAATTTTTTTGTTGGCATAATTGTTTAGCTGTACAGGCCACTACATGAAATGCTTAGGAATAAATTTGTGGGGAAAAAAGTGCTTTTTGACATACTCAAAATTGTCTTTTGAAAACTAAATGAGCTTTCAAGGAAAAAGTATTCACATAAAAGGAATAATCAATGAATCAGATATAACTGATGAGATTATTGTATA